AAAAAAAAAAAAAAAAAAACAGGGGCTCTTGACTCTCAAAAGAAACGCACCTCGAATTAAAAAGTTTTATTAGCATTGCAGCAGATTTCAATAGTACCTGAAACTCGAGTGCAGTAATCGAGGCGTACACGGGAAAGTTTGTGCAAAATTTTCCAGATGAATTTGTAATACGCACTTCCAGAAGAGCTTTTCCGGCGCTCAAACATGAATTTCCATTTAAAGGTAATCCATACGGAAACAGTCAACTCCGAAGCTGTTGCTTTTAATCCAAATCAGAGAAAGAAAGGGATAAACGACTATTCTATACTCCCTTTGATACTCCTCTTCATCCTCTTCATGTTAATTATAGTGGAATCAGAAATTTTTGGATTTTTGTTCTTTTTTTTTTTTTTTTTCACTTTTTTCCATTTCATCACTGATGTAATCGCAACTACTACAATTGCGAGACTAAATGAGGGAGGGAATCAAAAAGCCCTTTATGTTTTTCCTCCCCCTTCAACTCTCCATTTCTTGAAAGTTCTGTAATATTAAAGGCCAAAATAGCAGAATAAGTAGGCCTCCCTGCGATTCGCTTACATAATTAATCCCAACTGATTGTGCTTGAAATGAATTTCCCTACTTTCTTTTGTGCAATTGCTCATTAGAACTTAACAAAATTAAAAAAAGCTAATTCCGAGGAAAAAAAAAATTATGCTTGATGATTATTTGCGTCAAAGTAACGTTTGGCCATCGTTTGTTCGCAGTGGCATGTTCGACGGTGACGGTGACAAAGTGCCAGACCGCCCTAGGCAGTAGTTTCTCCTTACCCTAAAAAGGCAAAAACTTATTGCTGCTCTGGCGAATGATATTCATGCATCAGAGTAGTTGGTGCAAGAAATTTAATGAATGACGTTACTCTCTCTTATGTATCGACAAATCACTTCTAACACATCTTCTCCTGTTCACTCCCGTTTCCGTGCTGAGCTTTTCAATTCTTTGATGGATAGGAGCGCTTTTTACCTGCAGAAGTGCATGTAGTAAAAAAAAAAAAAAAATTGTAGAAGCATATTTTCCAGCGATCCATCAAAATCAGGATCNTTCCCATTAGTTCGTGCCGATTGATGATCGGCTTGACAGCTAGAGAGAGTCGATTGCGTGGCTCTCGATATACGTATACCGTTTATTGAAAAGCAGATTAAGGACTCGTCTCTCGCACGCGTGCAATTAATGCGAAATTGGCTACTATGGCCAGTGCCATTTGATAGCAGCATCCACTACGCGATCCAACACGTGATATATCTATGAGCTGACCCTCTCCATGGGGTGAATTGCAATCACACGAGTCTTACGAGATTCGGTCACTCTGGGGGCTAGTGCTTTTATTTTTTTATCTTCCTTTTGAACCCAAACTTTGTCAAAGTCCACGGCACTCCTTAACCGAGGTCGGACGGGCATATTTAGCTGCGCCAATTTTACCCCGTAGCTATAATCACGCCTTGGTTATTTGGAGCTGAAATAAGTCCCCCTCCCCTTCCCCCAGTAAAAATCGTCGCCTCTGACCTGCAAGAGAAGTATTTAACTTGGCTCCGAAACAAAAGACGTGCCGTATCTTTGACATGGAGTCGTATCTCCTCATGTGGAGCTTCTCCTCCGCTTTTGTGTCTTTCCTCCTTCTTCTCCAGCCGCCGTTCCATTGTTCGTCTTCCCAAGGGCTTTGCTCGTCACGACTCGCGGATGATTCCCGATACCTCAGCCTCTCCTTTCCAGCTTAGCCGCTGCTTCTTTTTTTCCTCGGTTCAAAAGGAAGGAAGACGATTCTCTCGAGGGCTCATCGGATGCTCACTCGCGTGCTGGAAAAAAAGAATCATAAAAGTCTCGTTTTTCATCATCGATTTTTATGCTTTTTTCCTTCTCTTCGCGGATATGTTTGCTCGTTTTTGCTCTGCACACAAGTGAGATACTTTCGGTGACTGGAGTAGTAATGCTGTCACCAGAAAATAGGTCATTCGGGGATGAAGATCGGGAATGGCTTCTATGGAACTTCCTCTAACAGAACAACTAGTTTCCTTGCCTTGCGGCGAAATCGATTCTTTTCATTTTTTTAACACTTTACAGGAAATAGCCCTCAATTTTCTTTTACTGACATTAAAAATAAATTTTTCAAAGAAAAGAAAAAAATTATTAACAAACTTATTGTCTCCCAGCTACATTCACATACATTTTTTATTAAAAAGGTTTGGCTAGTTGGGTGTAATTAAAATGCCACGCATATTGAAGACCTGTAAGAACAGTAACTGCAGCAGTAGAAAAAGGCACTATTTTCTTCGTAGTATCTCCGAGGTTCAAATTTGTTCCGTCACTTTTATCTGAATATTTCACCCCCTTTCCTTCCACCTAATTAAATTTGATCTTTAGAATGCACCCGGTTAGGTATCCTTTTTCTTCCTTTCTTCCTTCGTAGTCGATTTACATCCAGTGAGAGCGTTATTTTCAGACCTACATTTCTGTTGCTGCACAAAGAAAAATTTTGTAGTGAATCATTTCAAAAAGCCACTTTTTTGAATGTAGCATTACTTCACTTCTTTGGTTACTTACTTTTTATATGCAGTTTTGCAATCGAAATTACCACTTTGAAAAATCTACATATAAAAATAAAAGTCATGTCCACTTACTTTTTATCTGTGAACTATTTGTTCCAATTTTAACACTATAGAGTCGTAATGAAAAACCAAAAGTTCCATGGTATGATGATTGTTTGTAAACATTTATTGAATTTAATGAATCTTCTTTTGATTTTCATTGAAATATAATTTTTTTCATTAGCACTTCCCATTTCAGAAGGCCTAGCTATTATATATTTCTCCCTCACTCTTTCTTTCAGTAGTATATAACAGATATGGTCAGCCATCACACTTCATAGTTAAATCAATATTAACACAACTCAGGAGAAAAAATAAAAACTACTTGGGTACAAGTAGTATATACAAAATGTAGTCAGCCATTTTATGAACATTACAAAATTTTTTGAACGAGTCGTAGTATATTATGGTCAGGCAAAATTGAATTCAATGTTGCCTCACCATAAGCTATGCATTCTCCTTAAAAAAAATAAAACTATTCTTCTCAATTTTGTGATAAATAACACATTTAGTACACAAGTAATCATATTTAATCATCGAGGGGATTCAATAGGCTTCTCTACAGTAATTTTACAAGAAGGATTTAAAATGTTTTTGATCATAAAACTTTTTTTTTCCTATAATAGAGAAGGATCCGTACACAATGGATTCGCTACCAACGTGCAACCACGCCTTGAGCATCTGCAACCGAGAAAAATCTTGCGTTAAGCTGTACGACGACTTCAAAGCCAACTGCAAGACGAGGGACAACAGGTGCAGGATGGAGAACTGGTAAGTTTATAATCAACAATAATGTTTATACGAGTATACACATGCGATTTTCATGAATTTTAATGATCCAAAGTTATCGCTTATTTCGCGTTAACTTATTTATGGAGATACAGGAGTTTAAAGTTTTGGCTATTTCTCTAGCCGTAAATTTCGAACTTTCAGTTAATGCATTGCTTTGCAATCGTTTGTAGTGATATGAGGGACTCTCTAGAAAGTTATTTTGATTGTCAAAATGATTTTCCAAGCCTTGACTCAATGCCGGTTTGGCATATAGTTGAGAATAACACCATTACCCTTTCATCGTATACCCTCACACGCAAACGTGCAATATAAACAAAATCATATAATATTCCTCCATGAAAAAGTGGGGAGGGAAAGAGCGAATATCGCTGTAGTAGTGGAAATAGACGACAGTCCTTTCCCTTCATTGCGGCATTAAACAGTTCTTCTTCTCTCCTTTTTGCTCATTTCACCAGCTCCCGAGAATATCGAGTCCGACTGGAGCTGCACGGCTACTATACGTATCTTAACGTTAATGTGATTCCGTAATCATACCCCCTCCTTTGTGAGAATTTTCTCCTGCTAATTGGTTTTAGCGACTTGTTTCTGTGAGGCTTTTTTTTTTTTCGCTTCTATTTATTTATTTTATTTTATTTCTTGTCTCTCTTATGTTCTCTTTTTTTCTGTACACTTCTGTGAAATTACTACTCATTGCGGCAGCCAAGTATAATTCATTAATAAATGTCAAACTGTACTTACATCGCGTAAATCCTTTATATTCTTATTTTTTGGTAAATCCTGCATGTTATATAGTCAAATAATTTTCTAAATACTTTTATTGTGCTTCACAATTCCAATAAAACGGCAGGTTGTGTGTACGTAAGTCCACGAGCGGTTACTGGCTCAAACTCTTTCTCTCTGGCTGTAAAAATAATGCAGCAAACTCTCTACAACTGTACATGGCACACAAAAAGGCAAAACAGCTTCTGTTTTAATTTTGGGTACCACTAAGCTACTACTTGTATTTCTCCCCCAATTGTCGGATGATTGTTAGTTTGAAGCACGTGTGTAATCTAATCGATAAGTATTTTATAGGTCTAAAGTTGGAGCGAAATCTAGCTTTGCGAGACCTCATGAATAAATATTTTCACCTCCCTGTTTTCGGACCACAGGTTACCGCTCTGCTATTTTTGGAGGCAAAACTTCACGGTGAGCCCTCGCTCTTCGTTTCACGTGACTCTGGAACAGTTTAAGAGCCCGAGACACGCGATGAGTTTTTCATAGTTTTATTTTGGGGTCATTATACCCTCGTCCAAGTCAGCTTATATACTTTTGAGACCTTCCTTGAAGGCACAAATGTATCTCTCTGTGGCACCGGCCTTCTTGACCCGTTCCAAGTTTTGTGAATGCAAATTGTACAAAGTTCGAGACAATAGAAAATAATGACTTGGCTGCTCTGCGAGTAAACGTTTTACGGAAATAAAGGAAGGACCAGGTAAGAGCCCAGGTCGATTGCTTGACGTATAGGTATACGATGGAGAGGAGGAGACTTCGTGACCTCAAAAAAAAAAAAAAAAAAAAAAAAAAACGTCTTCCACGTTGAAATTATTTGCATCCGGGGGACGATGGTTTCTTTTTTCCTCTCACCTTGTCGTGCAATTTCACGCGCATACTCCAGAAAAGCGGGAAAGCCGAGCGGTACTTTGTCATTTCCCGTTACCTACCTCGTTCTCTTCGCGCGCACTTGTGAAACTCATCCGTCGACGAGGCGCAAGGGGCTGCCCAAGATTTTTTTAACTTCTTCCCCGCCCGGGGTCCTTTAACTTTTTGACCTTGTTCGGGCGCTCCTTCTTTAGTTTTAAAAATAGCATCGACATTTTTCTTTGTTATTCGACGTGAAATGAAACTTTTTCTACTTACCCTTTATTTTTTCTCCTCCTCAATGCAAACGTAACGATTGCCAACTTTCTTGTTTCCTGCTGCGTTTAGCGATCCACTTTACTGCTGGTGGATGCAATTTTTCTATCGTAGAAATTATTAAAACTTATAATTACTTGGAAAAGAGAAAAAAGAGGATTATTAAACAGGCCATCACAAACGAGGAAAAAAATCATTGGGGTTCGTTAACTGTCCGTACTTTTACTCTATTTTTTCGACGATTCAGTGGTCCTTTTTGTTATCCTTTTCAAGACTTTAGAATAATCTGAGTTGCAATTTAGTCTTGAAATAAAACCATAGTAATTACATCAAGAGCTGCTCTTCACTTCATACGAAATGATGCCTTTTTTTCGTTTGCTTTCAATGCATATCGACAAGTTACAAACCTTTATCCTTACCACGACTACTTTTGCAGACAGTGCAATAATTTTTGTAGCAAAAATACTTATTTAGCGTAAAATTATCGAAACTTAAAATAAGGTTTATTATGACTAATTCTGCAAAACCTTGAGGTCGAGTCTTACTTGACTTAGTACAGCGAGGATGTCTCGAAGAAAAGTGTCTCTAAGACGGAGGAATTCACCGGACAAACGTATAGTGTATAACTTATTTATTGAGAGTCAAGTTACTCGAGTACTCTGAAGACCACACGCCAGTCATTTGTGGGGTCAACAGACCCTCGCCCTCTCCCAGCCACGTCTGAGCTTATAATAGTACACGCATAGCCGGCCTCGATTAATATCAATTATCCTTAATCTCCCCGTGGCGTCGTCAACGTGCGCGAGTCCTCGCAACACAAATATGCTAATCGGCCGAGCTGCCCTGCCCATTTCCAACTTTATCGCTCATCTAGCGCTGCTACAACCTCATATATATATAACTTGGGCTACGTATACATGTATTTCCTTGCCGATGTCATTTTACGGCAACGTTCAATGCTTCGATATTTCTTATTTTCCTATGTATCTTTATGTGAGGATCGTATGGGCAAGTCACCGATTAATCGTTTATTCAAAGCGGAGCTTTTCAAATTTTCCGGACTTAGTTTTACGTTGGAGCTGTAAATTCGAGAGCTTAGCTTTTCTTCTCCGCGACTCGTTTTACCGTCCACGTAATAATCATTCCTCGGCTCGCGCAACGAGACTAATTTAAAAGTTAATTTTAACGCTCGCGTGTACCTTTTACGGGGACGCATAAAACAATGCACGCGACAGTCTGGCTCGCGCTGCCCCACTGCAGGATAAACTGCGAAAAATAAACCAACAACACGCAGCGAGTGCAAGAACAAAAGGAGGAAAAAGTAGGGGGAAAATAAAAAGTAGTCTGGTGCTTCCCGCCTTCCTCGAACGTCGAATTGTGATTCTGTCCACAGCGAAAAACTCTCCGCGTTACGACTCACCGGAGCAAATACGTGCCTGTGGTAAATATGTAATGTACATCGTGTCGGTTCATCGTGGACTAAATGATTCAGAGCCGAGCACGTGTGGGCATGTTATCTACGTACGCCACGTGTAAAGGTATCAGATGGAGGTGTGATGGAAAGAAAACAGTTTTTTAAAGGTAGGATTATTACTGTTGTTTTTTTAAACAAGCAATAGCATGAACGTCAGAAGTACCCTATCTTACGTGCTCTTTTAATAACGTTCATTTAATTAAATGATCCACTAGCGATGGATGCAGTATTCGACAATTTGGAAACAAGCTTTTACACCTGAAAATATTATCCTTAACCCTATGTAAGGAAAAAACGTAAAAATTATCTCAGGCGTTGAAGTTATAGATAATAGTTGAATAGCTTCATTGGCTTCTTCGGTGAGTTTGAACCTATCGTTTTGGAACGGACCTTACCTAGTACAAGTGAGAAAGCAAGCTTACCCATTTTTTTCAAAAAGCACCACGTCATGCTTCGAACAAAAATTATTTTCCGACGAATTCATCGACGACCCCTACAGCTCGCTCAAAGGCATTTCCATAAGTGCCCGAGCAAAAGCAATTATTCCCCCCTCCCCCTGCGATGCTATCGCACTGCAGTCGCTCTCGAGAGACGCGCGAGTCAAAGGGATCAAGTGCCGACAAACGAGGCGCGTTTGTGCACGACGAGACAATCCCGGAAAACTCAAAGGCATACCCTGACGAGCCTCTCTCTCTCTCTCTCTCTCTCTCTCCGTGTCCCGCGATTTTCGAGTCTCTCCTTTGATCTACCCCCTCTCTTCTGGCTCTTGAGGCGCACTTTTGAATATTTCTCCATGAGCGTCTGACTGCGCGTCGGAAAAGAGTCTTTGGCGACTCTACCCCACCCCCTCTTATGTACTCCGATGTTTGGTTATCTGCTTATTCCCCATGTGGAGGTGCCTCCCTTTGTAAGAAAATCACGTGTTTAATTGGCTCCCATTCATCAGCCCCTATACCATATATACTACATTGGCCTACATTTGGTTATCAAAGCAAGCGCGTTTTCTTAGCTCTATATGCGCCATAGTTCCCGAGCGAGCATGGAAACGCCGCAGTAAAGCATCAGAGTCGCAAAAAGTTTTACTCCGCGAGTATATGTCACTTACACGGCAGTCCTACGGGAGCCATTGCTTTGAATTTCGAGCACTCCCGGTGCTATCCTTTTCCTTGCCCCTTCCATTGCACCCTTTGTGCCGCTACATGAGTCATGGAACACTCTTTCACTATTTGGCGTCCTTCGTAGTTTAGAAAATTGAATTACCAAAGTGAATATTTCTAAGATATAATTGAAATTAGGGACAAAACCGTATGATGCACAAACTGTGGAGGTTCCGAGGAAAAGGTTGAGAAGGATTTCTTAATCAACATAAAGCCCGTATGGCCTAATGGGGCATCAAAACTAGAATTCGACGGAAGGTATTACATGGCCAATTATCCATAGGAAAGAGTTAGTAAATATATGTATATGTATACAGTGCTACAGAGCGAAGAAAAGAAAGGAAAGGTCATAATTAATTGGTCTAATTGCGTCCTGCAATCTGACGCTTTTCCTCCTCCAGTTTTGTGCTCGCGTTTTAAAGTAACTCAGCGTCTCTTTTCTCTAATTCGAC